ATTTTACATCTCACCACTCATCAAAAGGCCACAAAGACTCAGCATTTTCTCACTTGTCTTTTAGCAACAGAAAACTACCCAGGTAGGCTCATTCCTTCCAGTAGTTCCTCTGGCAATAGTAGAAAAGCCTACACCTCTGACGAGGGAGATAAATTGGGAGACTTGCCCAAAATAAAGGGATCTGAGATTCCTCCCTTTTATAAAGATACTGATATGAGCAGGTAGAAGTGGAAAGAAAGACCCAAGCTACAGCAAGTGGGGAAGACTCTGACTTGAGGCCTAAGACTCTCCTTTGCTCAGAGACTCAAGTGTCAGCAGGTAACAGTGGCAAGGAGGATACAGTCATAACAAGTGGTTCAATACAAAAAGTATTTCTCCTCACAGAAAAGTGAGTGAGGGGTCCTTCCACATTTCTTTCCCAGGAGACACCTGGTGGCCTGTCCTTGGGAAACTTCTATTTCCTTAGGCAGCAACCACAGGGACCGGTGCTCAAGGACTATCAGGTAAACCAAAAAGATCATAATGACTCTGCAATGGTTCTAAAAATTCTGCTACTATTTGGGCTACAACACACAAAATAATCTAAGACCCATGTACTAAACCTAAAAAGGATGAATGCCTACTAAAATTAAGGACTTAAATAGTATTGAGAATCTCTTTAACATAATAGAGAAAATGTCTAGGATACATTAAAAATCATCCAGCATATCAAGAACCAAGAAAATTACAAATTTATTGGATAAGGCAATTAGTTCACACAAATACTGAAATGAATCAGATGTTGGAATTATCTGACAAGGAATTTAATGCAGTCCTCATTAAAAAATGCTTCAACAACCGATTATAAATTTTCATGAAACAAACAAATAGAAAATCTCTACAAAGAAATGTAAGTTATTAAGAAATGGAATTTATAGAACTGAAAAATGCAATAAGAGAATAAGAAAAATCTCACTGGATGGATTCAATAGAATAATAGAAATGACCGAGGATACAACCTGAGGACAGAACAAAAGAATTCATCTAATCTGAACAACAGAGAGAAAATAGATTGAAATGAAAACTTTCATTTCAGGGACCTATGTAACAGTAGCAAAAAGTATCCAGCATTCATATTACCATAGTCTCAGAAGGAAAGGAGGAAAAATGTGGGTAAAAAAGTATTTGATGCAGTAATAGCTGAAAATTTCCTAAATTTTGTGAAAGATCTGAACTTACATGAGAAGCTAAGTGAACTCCAAACAGGATAAATTCTAAGTAATCCACACCAAGACATACTATAATTAAATCTTGAAAATTAAAGGCAAAGAAAAAAATCCTAAGTCTTAGCTCCACGATAAGGAACTCTGGTGGTGTAGTGGTTAAGGCATATGACTGCTAACCAAAAGTCAGTTGGTCAACCCCACCAGCCGCTCTGTGGAAGATGAGGAGGTCTGCTTCTATAAAGAACAGTCTTGGAAAGCCAATGGGGGTAGATATGAACCATAATTGATTTGATGGCAGTGAGTTTGATTTGGTTTATCTCCAATGATGGATGCTTCTTCTTAAAAGGGTCTCTGTGTTGAACGAAGTTACCCTTTTCATTAATTGAGAAAATCCTCTACTTTCTTCAGGCATACTTTTTGCTATCTCCACTTCTAATTTCCAAGTATACCTATGACAATTCACATCTATAACAACTATCATCTATTATAATCACCTCTATAATTACATTTTCCCTCTATAGTCAGTAAGTTCTTTAAGCTTATATTTCTCTTGTATGTAGATAGATTTTGTGTTTACCTCTGCTATCTAGTGTTCAATAAATTTGAAAAAAACATGTATAGCTTTATTCCTATCATTTTCTTCTTTTCCAGGTATCCTCTCCAATTTAAAATTTCCCTCTACCCCTGATAGAAGGAAGAGAGAGAGAAAAAACACTCCCTATCCGTGCACAGAAGTTTCATTATTTTAAATTTCCTCTGTCTCTGCCCAGGTAATTTATGATTAGAGACATAGTGTATAGAGTGGTTAAGGCTCTGGAGTTAGACCTGATTTGATCTGTAGTCCTGGCGTTGGCACTTAACGGTTCTGGGCTCTGTATGCGCTCTCACAACCTTTTTAAGCCTGGCTCTTTTCACCTATAAACTGAGAGTGATCTCTGCCTCACGGGTTGATGTGAACACTGAGATCATAAGTGGTAAGTACTCAATACAAGGAACAGTGTGCTCGAGAAATGGTAAATATTACCATTGTCTTTAAAAACATTTCAAACTGCATTATACTTATTAGTGAAATGTAAACAAAGACTTTTAAAGAACCAAAAATTGATTATGTATTTTAACATACATTTAATTTCAGCATTATTTCCCATAAAGAAAATTGTAATACAACTGAGATATAGCTAGCAAAATTATAATTATAATTGTGATAAGAGAAATGTTTTTGTGTTTTGCCGACATGCAGCAAATTCTAGTAAGCTTGTTAACATTTATTTTCTAAAAATATGAGATCTAAAAGAATCTCAAGTGTTCAGTTTTGAATTTTGGGTCAATGGATAAGCTTTAGTATGAGACTTACAATTACATTTTTCTAAAACTTAAAACTGCCAACTTGATTTATCAGAAACAAAACAAGAACAAAAATGTGGTTAACAGACTGTGTTTATTATTTTCTATTGTATCTAAAAGTAGAATATATTAAAAGACTTTGTTAAAAATAATTCTTTATACAGTTTTTGGAACTTTAATGGCAAACACAGTTTTTGGAACTTTAATGGCAAACACAGTTTTGCTAAAAAGCTAAAATTTTCAAACTAAAATCAGTTTGTTGTCTTAATGAAATTTACAGAAGCAAGTTATGATTCATTTTAAGTATCTGAAGCAGTTTCCACATTAATGCATTCTCGAAAAATAGAAAACTGAGAAGCTTAGGTAAAGCACCAGCTGTCACCAGGCCACCAAGTTAACACTGATTCCTCACCAGCTCCCATCACATGGATAGGAACTGGAGGAGAAAAGGAAGGAACACTTATAGAAAAAAACAGGACCCTGAAATTATATTTGCATAGGGAATCCCCCAAAGGCATCATGGTCAGGCTATTAAATTTCTGAGGAGCAGAAAAAGTTAGATTATAATAGTTAAGGCTCAAGATCATGCAGTCACAATAAAATGCAATTACTGATACTTGAATTAAATTCAATGTGACGCAACATTTAAAGCCAACAGTATACATATTGTCGTATTGAATCCCTTAGGATTGTGTAGGCACATCAAAATCAATCTTTATACAGAGGGAATAAACATCAAGATCTCAAACTGCTTGGGTGTAATTGAGTCTATTTTTTTTTTTTTTTCAATAAGCCAAAAACAACAATTTGTATTTATCTTTAAAAAAATTTTCCATAGTGAAAGATAATGTTTAAGGTTTTAAGGTTTTTCAGATATGAAACACTTTCTAGAGTCATTATGTATGTGATGAGATAAAGCAATGGCAACAACTAAAACTGAGAAAGATAATTGAGTAAGTAAAAAGTAACTTGCATGTACTAATGTTATAAAACAATAACAACGACAAACTTGCTTTCTTATCTCCTAATTCACAGTCCTCACAATTTGAGGATCTTTTTCATTCTTTAAGTTAGAAAGAACCATCAAGTACAGTGAAAATACTTTTAAGTGGCCACAGCTTCCCAATAGAGGACAAAGACACGTTGAAAGGTCCTAGACACAGCTGTGCCCTCAACTGTCTGAATTCATACTGTGACATATATTTGCTAGATCTTACATATCAGTGTTATATTTTGAACAAATGGTAAAAATACTCAGCTTTATTGTAAGATAAAGTTTATATCTATCAACATATTCTCTATAACAATATTTGAGTAAATTTGTTGTTGTTGGTATGTGCTGTCGAGTCAAACCTGACTCATAGCGACCCCTCCTTGGGTTTCCGAGGCAGTATCACTACGGAAGTAGGACTGCCCAACCTTCCTTCTGAGGAGTGGCTGGTGGGTTTGAATCGCCAGCCGTCTGGTTAGCAGGCAAGTGTCTTAGCCACTATGCTACCAGAGCTCAAATTTTTTTTTTTATTTGAGTAAATGTATACATCTAAAAAGTATAAATGAAGAAAAATGTAGTTTACAACTATAGTTCTCTTCACTCGCCTTATTCTATAAGTCATCCTACTGTGGAGCTGGAGCTTGGGTAGAACTAGCCAAAGAGTTGAGAACTGAAGAACCAGAAAAGAATGAAACAATATTAATTCCTATCACCAAAAGCAAAGAAATATGAAGAAGAAAAAAAAGTTGGCTCCAACAATCTTTATTAAACGTGGTTTTAATCAGCCCAAGAGCCTCTGCAATTAAACTGAGAGGCAACTTCTAAGGAATCCCTTCCAAAATTTTATGTTTTTCTAGGCAAGTTTATGATTTAATGACCCACAGCTCTTCACTATTTTTTAAACACCATTTCACATTAAGACAGAACTTATTTGTGACTAAGTCATATCAGTGGTAACTTAAAGTCCATCACGCAGTCATAACATATACAAGAAAGACTATTTTACTGCTAATCCCTACCATCACCTCTCCTATCCTCCAGAAGAGGAAAAGTGCCATCTAAGCCAGGTAGAGAAAATGAACATTGCATTGTCCAATGGCAATTTCAACCCTGTTAACCCACTTCAGCAATAACAAGGGAGTTGTCTTTCCTGATTGATTAAACTGAATATGTTGTTGTTGTTATGTGCCGTCGAGTTGGCTCCAATTCATAGCGACCCCTTCTTGGGTTTCCGAGGCAGTATCACTACAGAAGAAGGATTGCCCAACCTTCCTTCCGAGGAGTGGCTGGTGGGTTTGAACTGCCAGTCTTCTGGAGTAAAAAAATGAGTTTGGCATGCAGCCTTGTGAATATATGCTTAACTTCCGTAGGTTGTAAACAATTGACCTTTGATTTTATTTATGGTTTAAACTTTTAACATTTTGCAATATATGAGGAAAGTGAATGAGTGGTAAGTGGGATTAGATCTGGCTTTGAATAATTGACTTTTCCTTTGCTTTATCAAAATGGATAACTTCTTTAGTACCTTTAACATCTACATCGTCATCTATCATATGAATATTTGCTGCATTTTTTTCATTTTGCCTCAAACGGTAACTTTTATAAGCACGTTGAATGATGGTGGCTGATACTGCCTCTTGTCTTCGTTTTAGGGTAGTAGTAATTGGCTCATATGTGATCTTAAAAGGGTTTGCTAACATAAATCCAGTTTCTATCTCTGAAAGGACTTTCTCCATCTTCTCATCTTTACCCAAAACTCTCTTTGTAAAAGCAAGTAAGATGTCAAGACAGTGAATTCGGTCCCCAACAGCCATGGGAAGATCCATGGCAATGAGCTGGCCTTTATTTGGTTTTAACATGAGCAGAGGAGGGTCAAGGGCAGCTGCAAAATCTGAAAGCTTGCTAGAGTCTATGTATTGGGTCCTATCAGGATCAAACCTCTTCCACACCTGAAAAAACTTCCTGAAATCATCTTCACTCAAAGTCTTGGCTTGTTTTTTAGAAACAATATTAAAGAACTCCATGATAACAACAATGTACATATTTATAATGATCAGCCATGATATGAGGATATAACTGACAAAATAGATAATCCCTATATAAGGGTTACCACAATCTCCTTTAATCTGAGTCCCAGGGTTAATTTTATCAGGATCACAATCTGACCATTTACTGTTGAAAATTGCACTAAGCATCCCATCCCAACCAGCAACTATGGTAACCTGAAAAATGCAAAGTATACTGCTGCCAAAAGTTTCAAAGTTGGATACATCATTGATTCCTGCTTCCTTTTTAACATAGGCAAAGTTGTACATTCCAAAGATGGCATAAACAAACATGAGCAGGAATATGAGAAGACTGAGGTTTAGCAATGCTGGGAGGGACAGCATCAAAGGAAGCAGTAGATTATGGAACGCTTCTGGTCCTTTCCCAAGACGCAGTATGTGGATGATCCGGGAGAGAAGTATCAGTTGGACAAGGGAAGGAGATACAAGGTAGTATCCTACCATTATAGGTAGAAATAGTCCTTGGAATGGAAAAAAGATAAAGCAGTAAATAAAATTATTCAAATGCAATTGTATTTAGAGGAATATAAATTATATTTCATTGTTGGTTCTATAGATTACAATGATTTGATTAATCCATCACATTTAACAGTAACACATATTTGAAGGTTGGGTTAGCCAAATTTTAAATGTGTCAATGCATAGGGTATCTAGCAAAATTTGGAAGGCAATTCTTCTGTATTATAAAGAGTATTATGGATCAAATACTTCTGGAATCAAAGATGGCATAAATCTATAATTTAGGTTAGTAGTCATGATTTTTTTTTTGACTGTTCTTGGCTTAAGGAATTTTGTTAATTCCACCTTTTATTTAATGTCATTTCTAATGAAGATGTAATTCAAATATGCAAAGAACAATTACATAGTTTCTGCCCTTAAAGACCTTATAATCTAGAAAGTAGAGATAGATACTTTAATTACAAAACAAGGCATAAAGACATATTTCAGAAATATAATTACAAAAATATCTAGCATTCAGTTACTCAAAGATTGTAATTAAATTAAATGTTCTTATTTCATAGGTAGAATTTGTTCCCTACTGAGCTTTAAGTGTGAAATGCATAAATGAGTCTCTAGCCTCACAGAACTTTTTTGTAAAAGTGTTGGGTACATAGGCAAGGATGGTAGTAAAACATAGATAATAAGTATGAAATAAAGTAAAATTATAATTTCCATAAAAGATACAAACAAGAGTTATTGACCATGAAAGGGAAGTTCAGTAATTAATGAATGCAGCAACAAGGACACTTGATAATTTCCAGAGATTGACAAAGAAGTCTACTTCCTGAAAAAAATCAAGCAAACAAAAAACTAGATACATAGGGATTAATTTTTGTTGTATGAAGTTGTTTATTTTATGGGATATGAAGAAAAGTATCTTGGGCATTCTCAGATCAATTTCAAGAAAATTTAAATTTATAACCTTTCTTGTAGAAATAGACAAATCTTTTATCTTTGCCCTATGGTCATTAACAGGTGAGTGGCCCAAAATTTTGTATACATACATTCATCAGATAATTCTTCATAAAACTAGGAAAATAGAAAACTTATGATAAGTTCCTGGGTAAATTTATCATAGCCTCTTCCACAGAATAAAGTAATAATTAATGTCCAATTAGAAAGCTAATAGAAACACATTTCTCAAACTTCATTTAAATGAAAGAAGGAATATTTAAAAAGTGAATTAATCCATGTCAGCATCAACAATAGAAACAGGTACTAATAAGGAAGTAGGAAATTTCACAAAATTTTGGAAAAGAAATATTGAAAGACAAGCTAGAGAGGAACCATTGTGGGAAACATGCATAGATGATTCAAATTAGAACTCATAGATACAGATGATCCAGGTGGCAGGACAAGTCGAGCTGAGCAAATTAGTGAATAGAAAGATAGGATGACATAAACCTCACGATTTCAACAAGACAGATAGAAAATATGACAGAAATATAAAAGACATGGAGGATCAATTAAGAAGAGTCAAGAAATATATAAAAGAAGAAATAAAAAACAATATTAAAAGGAAAAAAATAGAAAAAAAAGAAGAAAAATTCCTTGCCCGTAACATTTTTAGACAAGTGTTCAAGAATCCTTGAGCAAAATGGAGGGGGGGACCAAAAAAAAAAAAAAATAAAATGAAAAAAAAACCAAGAAGAACTAGACAGTGTGGTTTCTTTTTGAGTGAGAAAGTGGGGAGGGGAGAATCTCATGAAGCTTCTGTTGCTGTTTGTTGGGTGCCATTGAGTCAACTCCAACTCATAGAGACCCTATGTACAACAGAACGAAACACTGCCTAGTTGTGCACCATCCTTACAATCCTTGCTATACTTGGCTCATGATTTCAGCCATTGTGTCCCTATTTTGTTGAGGGTCTTCCCCTTTTTTGCTGATCCTCTACTTTACCAAGCACAATACCCTTCTCCAGGGAATGAAGCTTCTGAGATAGTATATTTGCTGAATCTGGAAGGATTATGCCTCACATTTCTGTTAAATTTGCTTATTGTCCAAGATGGCAGTTCCTCTGATGTACTATCTCTCTATAACCTTATTCCCATAAGTGCTCTTGTGAAACTTCTCCCTGACCCAAGTTCTTATTCCTTCCCAATCTTTTAAACTCTTCCATTATGCAAGAAGTATCTCCATTTCATTGTAAATCAATTTCTCTATATTCTCTTCACTAAATCTTCAACTCTTTTTAAATCTGAAATCTTTCATGAGGACATGATTTTTCTTACAATCCTCTCATTGTAGGTAGCTCATTCTCCTTTACTCCTCCATGTTTCTCAGGGTGGAAAGATGGAATGTGATTTCCAGATCATTCCTCTTCACATTTTCCCCCCTAATTTCTTATACTTCATGGATAATACCATTCAGCTATACCATTTCCTACTGTTCTGTTATCTACTGCTTCCCCCTCATTCATATTCATTGATATTTTACTACTTGACCCACTGTCTCTCTCTCTACCCTAGTACCAACTATCAACAATCAACAACCCATTCCAGCAGTAGCCTCTGTCCTTGGCCTTCTCAACTTTACTAATTTTCTTCCTCATTGTACTTGAGTTATCCATATCTGTGGCCACATTCTACCCCCAGGATACACAACCTTCTGAAACTTCCAATTCAAACAGCTCCCTCTCTCTTTCTCTCTCTTGGTCCACAATTTCCTTTTCTTCCAGCTTTCTGATTCAGTCACTCTCATTTCAAGCTCATATTTTTAGGTGCCTGTGATAGTTCAGTTTGTGTGTCAACTTGGCTGGGCCTGGTTGAGTAGCTGGGCAGCTGGATGTAGCATTCCCCATGATGAGACTGGTCATCAACTCCATGGTGGAATCTCCTGGGAACAGCTAAGTAGCTGCCTTTGGGTGTGTGGTCTGCTTCCTATACATAAGAAACAGCTTTGGGAATTGTCTGTAGCTAATGGCATGCTTAGAGCCTGAATGTAAACATGTTATTGTTCAGCAGCCTGCCATGCTCTGCCGACCTTGAGACTTACGATGAACTTGAATTAATGACCTGCCCTGTGGTTTGGTAACATCGGGACTGTGCCTTTTTACTTGTCAACCTTGGGCTTCTCAGCCTCAGTAGCCAGCAGCTGTTGGAGTGAAGAAACGCCTCTAGCTCCAGTGGGCCAGGAGCAGGAGGCAGAGCTGGACCCCAATGTTGAGGGGCTTTCACCCAGCCCCCTAGAGCCTGGCACTTTGAATTTGGACTTAAAGCCTCCAAACTGTTAGAGAATAAACTCCTGTTTGTTAAGGCCATTCCATTTGTGATATATTCTTGTCAGAGCGGCACTAGGTAATCAGAACAGTGCTGTTGAGTAGATTTCTACTCATAACAACCCCTGTGACAGAGTATAACTGTCCCATAGGGTTTTCTAAGCTGTCATCTTTGCATGAAAAAAATTGCTAGGTCTTTCTCCCATGGAGCCACTGGCTGGGTCTGATCCCCCAACCTTGAGGTTAGAAGCTAAACACTTAACCATTGCACCAAGCTCTTTAATTCTATAATTCCTCTGTGTTCTCCCTGCCAGAACCATCATGTCTTTATGTATGTTTCAATCAAGTTTCTTATACTTTTCAATCAACAATTAATTTCATGGATTCAACCAACTACTGCATGTGTGAACATAACTAGACAGAGAGTTTACGTGCTTCTTCACTACTAATAGCTAGATTAGTGCTTGACACATAATAAATGTTCAAGTATTGTCCCTGTTCTCATGGAGCTTACATTTCAGTTTGTGTGTTATTGGGATCCAGATACTAAACAAATATCTCTCTCCTTGAATCACTTTTTTTTTTCTCAATTCTTTGTTTGGTTACTTCCTTAACTAATAGATCTCTATTTGGATTTCATGTCTCCTAGGAAATTTTCTGGGAGCTCTGATAGCGTAGTGCCTAAGGCAATTGACTGCTAACCAGAAGGCTGGTGGTTCAAACCCACCAGCCACTCCTCGGAAGGAAGATGGGGCAATCTACTCCCGTAGTGATACTGCCTCGGAAACCCAAGGAGGGATCGCTATGGGTCGGCTCCAACTCGATGGCACACAACAACAACAGCAACAACAACAGGAAATTGTCTGTAACCCTACTTGCTGATTAGGCATCCCCCACTCTGTTATGTTGCTATAGCACCATGTGCTTTCCATATCATAGACTTAATAACATATCATTAAAATGTGCAATTTGATTATCTGCATCCCTTAATAGACTATAAACTATGCTCATACAAAGTTTATGCTAATATTGTTTACTGCTGAATTCTTTGCTTATTATAGCATAATATCTATTCACAAAGAAGGTAATCGAATATAGATATTTGTTCAGTAGAAGAGTGAGATGTCTAGGATTAGATGAAATTTGTAACAAATATATTAAAGTATAAAATTCTAGTATTCTGGAAGCTTTAGGGGCTAAAGGGAAGGAAAAGTATGAAATTTGAAAGACTATGTCATGCTAACATATAAAAATTCTTCCAGTGTTATACTGGAAAATTAATGTCTGATATACACCAAAGACTTAATTAAGCATTTACCTGATGTTTTGTAGAAGAAAGTCTATGTTATTAACTCTAGAAATAGTTTTGAATATCTGTTATCTATAAGGTATGGGCATAAGTATGAATATATGAAAAATATAAGGCACTTATGTTAGAAATAAAAAGGAGATCCCCTTTTCAACAAGCTGTTCACCAGTTTGTAATACTGTGCTAGCGGAAGCTATGCTACGAGTACTTCAAATCCCAGCAGAGTCACCCATGGCAGACAATGTAAAGCACAGCTTCCAGACTAACACAGACTAGGGAGAGAGGCCTGGTGATCTAATTCCAAAAATTGGCCAGTGGAAATTTTATGGATCACAACTGAACACTGCCCAACTTTCTTGCTTTGTTCATATCATCAAAAAAGATCAATCACTAGAGGAGCATATCATATCCATTGAAGTAGAAGGCCAAAGAATTGAATGGATAGGCATAAAGCCATAATGTTGAACTAAAATATATTGGCAATTGTGAGGATGATTCAGGGCCAAGCAACATTTTATGTTTTTTTGTAGATAAGATTGTCATGAGTTGGAGTCAACTTCACAGTAGCTAACAATAACCTCTCTTACTTGTTGACAGATTATGTTTCAAAAGACATTTACTATAAAAAGCTTTCATGATATACTATTACTACAAATAAAAATATGACTAAGCAAAATCTAGGTGCTCTGGTAGCATAGTGCCTAAGGCACTTGACTGCTAACCAGAATGCTGGTGGTTCAAACCCACCAGTCACTCCTCAGAAGGAAGTTTGGGCAATCTACTTCCATAGAGATACTGCCTCAGAAACCCAAGGAGGGGTCGCTATGAATGGGGTCCAACTCGACGGCACATAACAACAACAAGAAGCAAAATCTTACCTGTAATAGAGAAAATGACCACCATAAAATCAAAAATATTCCATCCAATGGTGAAATAGTAACAACGGAAAGAGATGAGCTTCAGTAAACATTCTCCAGTGTACAGCAAAACAAAAATTGTGTTAATCCAGTACAAAGCAATCTCCATTTGTGGACTCTCATCCTCACTTTCCATCATAAGGATCAGTGCATGTGCAAAGATAAGAACCATGATGATGATACTAAAAATTTTGTTCATCACCAGGCCAAAGATGAATCCTTGAAACTTGTTCTGTGAGGAAAAAAAAAAAAAGCATATAATAATATCATTAATGACATACACACACACACACAAACACACACATAATCTTTAAATTCTACAACTTATTTTCTAGAATAAATAGGAGGATACATAAATAAATAAATGAATAAATAGGAGTATAAGTGAGGGGCCAAAATTTTTACCAAATTACAATTATAATACTTAAACAAAAATAACAACCACTAAAAGTTTTGTCAAGAACATGTTTTTAAAATTTACTGAAATTTTTTTAAGAGTTAGAAAAAAACCCTTCATTTTAGAAGAATATATATAAAGGACATTTTTTGAAGCATCAAAAATCTAGATATTTTCTCACTGCTGGGCGAGGTATTGGATTTTGAGAGTCTTCAGACATCAGCTTCTTCAGGCCACGGCACAGTTTCTTCTGTTTTACTGTTATAAAGATATTTGACCCTCCCTGGTAAAGAAATGATAGAAAAAATTATTAAAAATCACATTTAATCCAGATTCCTTCTTTTACTAATACACATTTTGCAAGAGATTTGGAAGTTATTGATTTAACCTTTTCTAAAAAACTTTCATTACAAAGAAATAAATAATGGATTGAATATGTCTCACTTTCTGTACAAAAATTGATAAGAAATACAGATAATGGTAATGACTGAGAGATTCAATAATCTCTTAGTGGACTTTCCTGTGGGTAGTCAATCCTATTTTCACTTATCAGTCTCCTGAGGAACCAATTTTAGTAGTGAAGAAAAAAGGAAAAGGCACTGGGTATATCTGGAAAGGTTTATTAAGAAAAGTTGAACTCAGTAGCTTCAAGTAAGGTTGGTTTCTTTCTTTCAATGAGCAGGAAAAAATGGAATTGGTTGTGTATGTATTTTTACATGTTCTTATGTTGCTTTAAGGAGTTCTGCAGTGGTTAAGCACTAGGCTGTTAATGGAAAGGTTAACTCCCCAACTGCTTGGTGGGAGGAAGGTGTGGCAATCTGTTTCCATAAAGATTGTTGTTATTGTTGTAATGTGCCACCGAGTCAGACATCTGTCTTGTAGATGTCTTTGTTTGGAGAGTCTCCCTTTTTAATTTCAAGCATTATAGTGCCCAAGTCACTTGACTGCTAACCAGAAGGCTGGTGGTTCAAATCTACCAGCCACTCCTTGGAAGGAAGATGGGGCAATCTACTTCCGTAGTGATACCACCTCGGAAATCCAAGGAGGGGTTGCTATGAGTCAGGTCTGACTCAATGGCACATAACAACAACAGCAACAACTATTTAGACCATCAATTTGGATTTATGACTCTCTCTACTTGCAGAAGATGGAGCTATTCTAACTTCTAGAAATGTCCATAGTGTTTTATGACTGTGTGGACTTTGAATATATCAGAGACAAAAAGAGTGCACTTTTTTTTTGAGCTCTTCAATTATTTGTGCATCTATACACTAATATTACTTATTTGTTTTTTAGCACATTATTATTTACAAAATATATAAGTAGAAAATGTTCCAATTTTTAGCTATTAAATTTCTGCTTATCTTGAATATAGAAAACAATGCAAAGATGAACTTTCAGAAAGGTTCATCTATAAGCAGGAACTTTAATCAATAACTATATTTTTTGTTATGTGCCATCGAGTTGGACCCGACTCATAGTGACCCCTCCTTGGGTTTCCGAGGCAGTATCACTGTGGAAGTAGATTGCCCCATCTTCCTTCTGAGGAGTGGCTGGTGGGTTTGAACAACCAGCCTTCTGGTTAGCAGTCAAGCACCTTAGGCACTATGCTACCAGAGCTCCTACTATATTTCTTAGATAAATATAAAATAAAACAACATTAAACAGAACCCAAAAGTAATCAGTTATTTGAGGTAGGGTGTTTTATAAGTATGTTTGATTTTTTTTTCAGGCTTTGACCAAGCAAAGAATATTTATACTTATCTTCATTTTGTGCTTGTTGAAATTAGCAACAATGGAACCAATCAGCATACTCAGGGGGAGAAATAGTCCAAAGATAATAAAGTTGGTAAAGTAACAATACATATAGATGTTGTCTTCAAAATTAGGTTGCATTTCTACCTAAATGTTAATTAAAAGAAAAGCAAGATATTGATATCAACTTTTAAAACAGACCTATAAAACCATGCATGCCAAGAAAGTCCAACAATACTATTTGAAATAACAATTTCTCTTTGTTATGAAGTGGTGTCATTGCCTTATTTATTTGGATTTTAAAGTTTATTGCATCGGTTTAATCATTCTTAAAAAGTCTGACAATCCTTCAAATGGACCTATGGGCCCACAACCATTGCATATACTCCTGAAAGAATTTCATGATTCATGAATACTCAAATAATCTGAAATGTATTGAATTTCTATCTAGCATAGACATTTTCTTTTTACCATGTTAGTGGTGTAATTATGTCTTGAACTGCAAAAATGACTTTGCTTGACTCTTAATGACTCTTAGATTACATTGTACTTACATCAATAGAATCAACTGCTGAATTCATAATCGTAATCCATCCATTAAATGTTGCCTGCAGAAATGACATGGTTTTTTTTTAATTCTTATGGGAATCTCATGGTTCACAAAAAATAAAGTGTAAAACTTAGTGCATTAATAGCACTGAAGCATTTGATTAGTAAGGCTCACCACACTTCAATGTACTGTGTAATTGGGATCGTTTTGACATTTTTATTATTGTATTTATGTGATCTTTTAAATTATTTAGTTTGTTTGTAGCTAATAATTTTAAATATTTTAAGATAATATTAATGAATAGATTAAACAAAACACCAAACTCACTACCATTGAGTCGATTCTGACTCATAGCGACCCCCTTTGGGTTTCTTATTTTCATAAATCTTTATGGAAGTAGATTGCCCAGTCTTCCTTCCACAATGGATAGATGGTTAAATAAATAAATACATGCTACCCAAGTGTCATAGTTACTTGTAAGTTCTAGACATGTGTTTTTTTTCTATTGGAGAGATAAGATGAAAATGCTCTCTCTCTCTTCAGCTCTGCTGGATGTTGGGTCACTGAGTAGTCATTGCTCAAATAACTTAATAGGAAAACAAACAAACAGATGAAACAGTGGTGACCTGAATTGGACCAAAGAATTGTGACCCCATGGCTTTAACAGTGGTGGTAGACATAGGCTTTCCCAGTTCCTGCTCTTCATCTCCACTTCCTTCTCCCTACTGTGCAGGGACTGTATTTCATTTTTGTCTTCCCAGTTGAGTCTAGCATAGTGTGTCCCATCATACATATTCACTAGTTAGTATTTGCTAAAATATTTTCTAACTAAGTGTGTCAAACATCCACATTTTGTCCTTTACACTTAACTAACAATACAGATGAACATATAACTGATTTAAAAATATCCAAAGGTTACTTACAACTTGAAACAATGAAAGGAAACCATTTCCAACATTATCAAAGTTCAGTTCTGCATTCTCCCATGGCATGGGTTCATTAAACACAAGGCTTTCACACTGACTCTTATTAATAACTTCAGATAGAGGAAACCTTTCTCCGCTTGTTGGATCAATGCATTCATAGAACTTGCCAGCAAATAAGTGTACTCCCAGGATGCTGAACGCCAGCCAGATCATAAGGCAGATGAGAAACACATTTACAGTGGGTAGGGTTGTTTTTATCAAAGCTCTTACAACCACCTGGCATATAAAAAAATGAATATGCAGGTTTTAGGCAAGAAATACGAAACTACTTTAACATCTGATAATATTGAAAATACTAACTGATGTAATGTGTTGAGCAAGAAGTAGCTATCTCTAAACATTTAATAGCCCACATTCTTGTATTTGAATAATCAAAATAGAAATTCAATTTAAAGATATACATTAAAACTGTAAATACTCTAAATCTTTATACTTAAAAAAAAATGAAAGGCAACAGAGCTGACTAGTATAAACACTAGAAATAATTATTTCACTGATCTAACACAAGTTTATTAATTTTCTATGCTGTCCATGAATGGGCAAGATAATTAAACCTGTATGCATATATGAGATCATCTAGAGAGCATATAAAATGAGAGAAAATGAACCTAGATATAAGTCTTGAAGATTCAAACTCAAGGAAGATGAGCATACAAAGTACGCAATGGAGGAGTGTTGGGAGAAATAAGAGGAAAACTAAGAGATTATAGTATCAGTGAAGAGCTCTGGTGGTGTAGTGGTTAAGGTATATGACTGCTAACTAAAAGATTAGTGGTTCAAACCCACAAGCTTCTCTGTGGAAGAAAGAAGGAGCGGTCTGCTTCTATAAAGATTTATAGTCTTAGAAACCCAGTAGGGGTCACTGTGAGTCAGAATCAATTCAATGCCAGTGAGTTTGGTTTAGTTTTGAATAGGATCAGTGAAGTCAAATGAGGAGATTGTTTCAAGAAATACTACACCTTACAAATCTCTACCTTCCTCATTGAACTACTCTTTATCACTGATCAATCACTCCAGAATGGAAGTTTGGGAGATGACCCACCACCTAAACTTTCCATTGAATAACAGCAATATGTACAATCACTGTTGTCATTTCTTCAGTCCATTCTTTAATATTACAATCAGAATTTTATCTTTATCACTCCACTAAAGCTACTATGGCAAATAAGAATGTATTGCTAAATCCAATAGGATAATTTTAATCTTCACTATTTCTTTATCTTTATCTTAACCTGTACACTTTTGACCCTCCTCTCCCATCTTACTGTTTCTTCTCTTCCCTCAAGCCTTGCTGGATTCTTATCTTTTTACCTATACTTTCTTGCTTATATTCCTTGGTTTTCTGTCCTTTAACTAATGCTTTTTTAATGCATTTTATTGAAATATAATTTATGTACAGTGATTTCAATACAAATACAAAACTAAAGTGACATGGGTCAACGCATTTTGTGTGTGTGTGTGGTGTTCCCTCCCCTCCCCTCCCACGCCTGGCATCCAACAAAGTTTCCCTCATATATAAACCTTTCCTTGACCCTCCACAACAATGAACTAATATTATATTTGTCCTTCTGTGATTGACTTATTTCACTCAACATAATGTCCTCCAAGTTCATCCATATTATGCGGTGTTTTGCAGACTCTACGGTATTCTTTAGTGCTGCATAGCATTCCATTATGTGTATGTACCATAGTTTGGTCATCCATCCTTCTGCTGATGGGCATGTAGGTTGTTTCCAACTTTTTGCTATTGTAAATAGTGCTGCAATGAACATGTGTGTGCATGTATCTGTTCTTGACTTGGCTCTCACCTCTCTAGGATATATACCTAATAATGGGATTGTTGGGTCAAATGGTATCTCCAATTCCAGCTTTCCAAGGAATTGCCATATTGCTTTCCACAGTGGTTGTGTCACTTCACAGTCCCATCAGCAGTGTATGAGAGTCCTAATCTCTCCACACCCATGTCAGCATTTGTTATTTTCTGTCTCATTGAACCTTGCTATCAGTGCTGGGGTGAGACAAAATCTCATTGTTTTGATTTGCATCTTCTGATGGCCAATGATTGTGAGCATCTCTTCCTGTATTAGCTGGGCACCTCAATATCCTCCTTGGTGAAATGTCTATCTGTGTCTTCTGTCCATTTTTCAATTGGATTGTTAATCCCTTTGCTGTTGAGGTATTGGAGTTTTCTATAAATCTTAGAGATAAGTCTCTTGCCAGATATGTAATTATCTGTAAATATGAATTTGTTGCTGTCATTTCTGTTATGTGCTTTTTTGTGGTGTCAATTTCTTCGTTCCATATAATTTTCTATACTGAGCCTGTTTTGTTTGTGAATCGTGTTATCACTTCTTTTGTTGTTATTATTTTAGTATTTGCTAAATATTTGTGCTGGTCTTCTTTTTTATTTTGATGTGAAGGTTTATCAGTTTTCTTTGAAGTTACCCTGTGATTTATAGTTTTCTTCCCAAGTTTAGAACAGTTCATTCCATCTTGTAATTGTCTTGACATCCCTACCATCTAGAAGTTCTGTAATGACACAGTTTTTTCCCTCTTTTTGGTTTGTAGTTGTCTTTATTTGTCAATTGATGTCTCTGGTTGCCTGTTTACAATCTTGTAGGCTTATTTACTTTGGATACTTCCATAGCCGGGTTGGTTTCTGGGTTACATCATCATGTGTGTTAATGGTCAGTTGTTGTTGGCTGTTGTTGCTTCTCTGTCCAAAGGACTTCTTTTACCATCTCTTGTAAGGTTGGTCTGGTCTTAACAAATTCCCTTAATTTCTGCTTATCTGGGAATGTCCTAATTTGACCGTCATATCTAAAGGACAATTTTGCTGGGTACGTAATTCTTGGTTGGAAATTTTTCTCTTTCAGGGTTTTATATATACCATCCCATTATCTTCTTGCCTGCATGGTTTCTGTTGAGAAATCTGAACTTAGTCTTAATGGTTGCCCCTTGTAGGTAACTTTCTGCTTTTCCTATGCTGCTTTCATGATTCTTTCTTTGTTTTTGGTTTTGGTAAGTTTGATGATGATATGTCTGGGTAATTTTCTTTCGGGGTCTATCCTATTTGGGATTAGCTGGACTTCCTGAATGCATATATTCTTGTCTTTCGTCATACCAGGAAAATTCTCTTCCAACAAATTATGGACAATTTTCTCTGTGGTTTTATTTTTCTCTTCTTGTTCTGGAATTCTGATTACACGTAGGTTATCCCTTTTGATGGTATCTCACATGAACCTTAGGATTTCTTCATTTTGTTTTGATCTTTTTTTCTGATTTATTCCTTTCCAAAGAAGTGTTCAGGTATTTGCCATCAGTCTCCCTAATTCTGTCTTTCATTGATTCAATTCTGCTCCTTTGCCCATTCAATGTCTTTTCTATTTCTGAAAGTTTAGTATTAATCTTTTGGATTGCTGTGTGTAGATTTTGTATCACTTCTAATTTTTAAGTTATTTTGTTATTTTTTTCTTATATTGTCTTTTGAAATTGTTCTAGGGTTTTCTCTGTGTTTTCCTCGATCTGTCTCTCAGTCCTTTGAAGACACCTAAATATAATTCTTTCGGATTCCTTATCAGGGAGTTCCAATGCTGCATCTTCCTCATGGACATGTTTTGGGTCTGTGTCCTGGTCCCTTGTTTCTCCTTCTTTATCTTGCTTCTTTGTGTGGACTCTGATGCTCTGTTGTCTCTGAGGCATTATGATATTTTTGTGTTTATATTCAATTGGTGATTGTATGTTGGAGTTACTTGCCTACAATTTTCGTTTTCTTTGTTTTGTTTGTATGTTTCTATGTAATCAGGGTACTGTGCTGTGCTTCTCTATTCACTAGTTGGCAGCACGTATATACTCACCACCTGTCTCCTTTCCTATTATCAGCCTCTTGTATGTCCCTGCCAACGCTAGCAAACAAAGCCTATTCTTAGGTCCTTGGAGTCAAAGTGAGAATGTTATCACTTTAAAATCCAAACTGTTTGCCACTTATAAAGATTCAAATTGGCTGCAGCTTTGGTCACTTTAAATATCCAAAATACCCACCACTTGTAAGCATTCAAAATGGCTGCACCCTCGATCACATTAAATATCCAAAATGACTGCTGCGTATAAACAATCAAAATGGCTGTGCCCTCCAGACAGTGGAAAGTCAACAGCTCAGGTTGTCTCCCTCTTTGCTGTTTCCCTTCCTAGTCATAGGCCACCAACACCATCATCCTGTAGCCATTGATGACCAGGGCTGATCTTTAGGTCACATCTCATGTCCCAACACCATTTAGAAATATTCAGGCTCTTGGTCCTATCAGAATATCTGATGGTCTGCAGCTCCTACCGTCTCTGTACTCACTGTTTTCATTCAGATTTTTCCACTAGTTGGTACCTAATCGACTCTGAATAGTTCCTTTCAAAGCTCAGGGCTCCAGGATTATCTTCTGTATCTCTGTCAATGGGTTTTTCTTTTCTTTGTTGAAGAAGGCCTATGCGACTTGTCTGCCTATTCCTCCATCTTACTGGAAGTCTAACTAATACACTTTAACTTTTAATTTTCCTTTCAATCACACTTTATTTTATTTCTAAAAGTAGGTCTCAGGTATTTTTTATGATAGGATCTCTGGTAGCATAGTGCCTAAGGCACTTGACTGCTAACCAGAAGACTGATGGTTCAAAGCCACCAGCCACTCCTCGGAAGGAAGATGGGGCAATCTACTTCCGTAGTGATACTGCATCGGAAACCTAAGGAGGGGTCGCTATGAGTCCGGTCCGACTCGACGGCACATAACAACAACAACAACAACATGTTTTGAGAGGTCTACTGATACTTCTATTGAAAAAAATTCTATGCCTATTAGAAAATACTTATATATAAGAATAAAGCAGTGGCTACAACGGACACAAATATTTTGGTTACAAAGAGCACCCAACACCTGAAGCCTATTAAATGCATAAATATTAACTGTGTACCCCGTAGCTTTTAAAAATACTCTTTGCTCTATTTTCAAAGATAATTCAACTGTAGAACTTCAAGAGGTTGAGATAATGCTTCTGATATGGTACTGACATTGACCTAACCATGGCTACTATTTACCTAACCTTGATCTGACCATGGCTACTATCTCATTGCCTTTCTCATGAACATTTGGCATCAAGTGTTGCAATGCTTAATTTCTAACAAATAGAAGCAGCTTCTCCAGGTAATCTCTTCCTGCTTTTCTCTAAAATAGGGACAGAAAACTTGCAGATTTTGGCCTCTTTGTGCCCTGTGTATCTAACTTTGTTAAGGGGGGAAAAACACATATTTTTGATATTATAAATATTTACTTTAGTTTTATCCACTTATCCAATTTCTGGGTTTTTTGTTTTCATTTGAGAATAGGCCATCTATAGAAAATAAGCCTTGAATCTTCTATCAAATTTTCCTATCACTAAATTGCATCTGTGCTGAATTTAGCTGTTTTATCATTTTAATTACAATATTACAGTTTTCTTGAACCACCTTCTCCTGTCTTTATCTTATTTTCATTTAAAATCACAGGGAAATGTCATCATCTTGTAAATGTCCATGTCATGATTTGAAATTATATATTTTACTTGAATTTATAATAATTTTCATATAATAATTATCAATTTTTGACTTAAACCAAATATCTACTTTTTAATTTTATTTTATGTTTAACAAAGTGGAATGCCTTTAAGTACATGGCTTCCTAATCAATGGTAATTTGAAAATAGCATAAATTATAAAAAGTATACAGGTTAAACACAAATTAGTTTTCATATTAGATCCCACCATGGCATTGAATGTGATACTGAGTAATAGTAATCAATAGGCAGATTAATGTTAAACAATCTAAGTAAACCAGAAATGCCATAAAATACAATTATTATTATGAAATAAAAAGTATAATTAGACTTTTTCTGCCATTTCTGCACACAATTGATTACTGTATATCTAAATATTTATATTATTTCTGAGGGTCATAAACTGCATTTTTTTCTATTAGCTTGAAAAATATGAATTTTCATTATAGGTCCAAAGATTGAACATTGGTCATTTTTTATGGTTCAATCTATCAGCTTCCCTTACACTGTTCAGAAGAGGCTTTAAAGTTGGGTGAGAGGGAGAGGACTGGTAAGAATCCATGGTTATAATGTGTGAATCCCCACTCCCCCAAAAAATTTATTTTAAAATCAAAACTTGCAGAAATATGTTCACTCAGTAAATAACTACTTAGAATTCACAATGTTCTTATAATTTAAAAAAGTTAGCTAATAAAAGTTTCATTTCCTGACATTGTATTTTTTAAAATTGAGACAATTTTATTAATATTCATATATATCCATGTGAATTAGAATGATTTTTTTAATTGTATTTTCTCTCTCAACCATTAGTTGTTTTGTTTATCTTTACTGGTTTTCATATATCATGAGCAATGAAGACTTAGAATATTAAAATGTATAACTAACATACTTACTCCTTTTTATTTTTATGCAGTAGAATATGAGGTTTTGTTGCATTAATATTTTTAAAGATACAAATTGTTAATTTGTGGATATTTAGCTATCTAAAATAAAAACCTATAGTTTATTTTAGAAAATTTTCTCTTACCTTCATTCTTTCAAATTGAGATAGAACTCTGAGTGCCCGTAGGAATTTAATAGATATAAGTGGTTTTAGATCTTCTTGAGATTTGCCTATTAAGCTAAGACAAAAGACCTAAATAAAAAAAAGAGTAGATAGAATTTGATTTTAATTTTAATGAAAATAAACTATAAAATGCAAATTGCATTTGTAACAAAGAAGATAAACAGAGACAAACCAAGTAATCTCCAAAAAACTTTAGCATGCATTTCAAAGTATCTAAATAATGAGACAGAAAAATGTAAGAAAATAATTCTATGTTAAAATCACTTGAAAAGATAGATAAAATTTTTCTGGTAATAAGGAACATTCTATTTTCTTATTTTTTTTCTCTATTTTCAAGTAAACATATATGGGAAATTTGTTCTTTTTTACCCTACACTCAAGAGATAGTCTTGTGGCAGGCTATGAAATAAGAATGTTATCAATGTAAACATGGAAGGATGTAGACACATAAGAACAATGACTAAGAAACTGGTATATGGGCTGCATGTGTAGTGTGGTAGGGCTGGAGTAGAGGGTGAATTTATAAGAATTAACTTAAAAGATGCAGATCAGATGATGTAGGTCATTGATCAAAGATTGTAATTGCTGATAGAACTGCCTATAGAATAGGAAGCCATCTGTGCATTCAACTAAAATTATTGAGTACTTAATATAGGAGCTCTGGTGGTGTAGTGGTTAATGCATTGGGCTGTTAACCAAAAGGTCAGTGGTTTGAACCCACCAGCCCTTTCACAGAAGAAAGATGAGGCAGTCTGCTTCTGTAAAAATTTACAGCCTTGAAAACCCAATGAGGGTCACTATGAGTTGAAATTGACTTGATGGCAGCGAGTTTGGTTTGGTTTTTGGTAGTATATAACAGGAATTTTTCTAGGCACTGGGGATAAAGGAGGGAACCAAATAGTGTAAAATTTCTGTTCTCATAGAACTTATCTTTTAGTAGGAGAAGACAAACAAAAATGAAAAGCAATGAATATATTGTTGTTGTTGTTGTTGTTATGTGCCGTCGAGTCGGCCCCGACTCATAGCGACCCCTCCTTGGGTTTTCGAGGCAGTATCACTACGGAAGTAGGATTGCCCAACCTTCCTTCCGAGGAGTGGCTGGTGGGTTTGAACCGCCAGCCGTCTGGTTAGCAGGCAAGTGACTTAGCCACTATGCTACCAGAGCTCCTGCAATGAATATATTAGTATTAATATATGCAAATATACAATATTAGTGCCATGGAGAGGAATAAAGCAGAGGATGGGAAAGGGTATTGGAATAGTTGTAGTCTTAAATATAGGACTAAGGGAAAGCTTGATGTCAAAGATGTCATTTAAACAAAGACATGAATGAGGTGAGCTAGCAAAGGTTTCAGGTGAAGGGAAGAGTAAGTATAAAACATGATGGAAATAATCTTCGCATTTTTGAGGAGTGGCAAGGAGCTCAGTACTCGTGGAACAGTATATAGATGGGGAAGGGGGAAGAAGGGAGTACTAGGAGATAAGTTTGGATCATGTAGAGACTTATAGGCCTAGACTTAGGCTTTTACTCTGTGATAAAAACACAGTTACTGTCAAGTTGTTTCTGAGTCATAGTGACCCCTTGTGTTTGAGAGTAGAACTGTGATTCATAGGATTTTAATGGCTGATTTTTTGGAAGTAGATTGTCAGGGCTATTCTTCTGACGAATCTGTGGCTCAATTTGAACCTCCGACCTTTAGGTTAGCATCTGAGGGTGTTAACACTTTACACCAACCAGGGACTCTGTGAAATGGGGTGTTTATTGGAAGTTCCCAAGAAGGCAAGTGACATGAGCTAACTTCTACTTTACAAAGGTCACTGATTGCTAAGTCGAGAATCAAATGAAGGTGTGCAGTGGATAAAAAAGAGATATCTATTTGTCATTTATTATAGTAATCTAAATTTGAATAGTTTGAATTATGGTGGTAGTGGTAAAAGTTATAATAAGTAGTCTAATTTTGGACTTAAGACTTAAAGGTAAAAAAATGAGAATTTATAGATTTTAGGGTTAATATTTTCAAAGTGATGTGCAAGAAACATATTCTATTAGTATAGGGCTCATAGGTGACTATTACAATAATTCAGAAGAGAAGTGCTGGACTTTGTAAATTTTAGAGTGAGAAGAAAAGAATAAATATAGAGTGTTACAAATGAATAAAGATGGGATGTTGGTGAGTGAAAACGTAGGGAAAAGGAAAAGGAAGATCCAGGATAAGTGAAAGAATAAGAGTGAAATGTAAATTAAAAAGTTGTTCATTTTTTTTCTTTAAAAGTACATACAATAACAACCATGAAGTCCAGCCTGTACCAGGCATTAGTGAAATAAGCTTTAAAACCATATGCCATCCACTTTAGAAGCATTTCCAGAATGAAGATATATGTGAAGATCATGTCAGCATATTCTAATAAGATTTTAATAGTCTTTCTCTGATTGATATATATATCTTCAAAAGCCTGTGAGTAAAATAATTAAATATTAGTCTACACGTAATTTCTAAAAATTCATTGGCATAAAGGGTAATAAACTCATCCTGATGATTGTTCTAAACAATGATCCAAAAGCCCCTCTCAAATCAGTTAATCAAAGCTAACATAAGAAATGAAATCTTTAGCTACATCTGATATGAAAGTTATCTCTAATTTAAGGAAGCCAGCTCACACACATATGCCAACTGCTACAAAATAGTGGAGATTTAAGAAAAAAATTAATAACATATCTTCAGAAATTCATACTGCTATTATAAGAAAAAAAAGTTAATTTTTCTGTATGAATTATAAGGTAAACCAGTGGAAACATATCAATATGAAATAAAACTACAATAATTTTTCCAAAGCTTCTTAGTTCTGATCACTCGACTTTAATTTTACTGTGGAATATGCAAATTTTAGCAGCTTGGATTCTGGTGCTTATGTCAATTTCATAACTGCATGTGTGCACTGAAAAAAAAAGGCAATAAAGCATCAAAAACCTCAGGCAGACTTTCATTATTAAAATGTGTCTAAGAACAAAGAATGAATAAGGCTTAAAATAATTTTATGTAAAGAATGGTGTGATTATTAAAAATCCACCTTCAAATACAAGGAAATATAAAATAAGAATAGAATTACTGACTTTTAGATTTAGAGAAAAATAACTGATAATTTACCATACTTTCTATAGTGATAACACAGACAGAAAAATCAGTTAACATTTAGAATATGGGAAAAATACAATAAATTCAAATTACAAATTTAATATAATTACACCCAACATCAACAAATGGCACAAACTTCTCAAGTGCATATGGAACACTGTTGTGGATGTTGGTGTTGCCCGCTCACAGCCCCTTTATCACCAAGTCCACTAATTCATCAGCTGCTCTGAATGTTGCCTCAGGGCAGACAACTGAGCTCCGGTCTAGAAAATTGCTTCTGCTGAAGAAAAGCCACCTCACCCAAAAGGCCACATTCCCATTCCTAGAGAGGAACATTTCAACTAATGGCTGACTGACAGATACAAATGGCCATCCTCCTTGCTTCACTCAGGGTTGGCTAACTCTGTGGTACAATTTGGGCTCCAGAGTTTCCCCACAGGATCGAACTGAATTTTGTTTCATTTGAGGACCATGCAGAGACCTCCAATGAGGGAGGTGTCTTAAAAGACAATGCTTCTTCTTTAAGATCTGCTTCCACCTCTCCTCCTGGCCACCAGATTAATAAAATAAAAGCCAAATCTCTTCATAACCTTGCTGGGGGAAGTTTTGATATTGCTAAGAGAGAAGGAATATACACTAGAGGACTGTCAGGACTTGATAACAGGTAGTGGAAGGAAATAGGAGAGTACATCAGAGAGTGAATCCTGATGGGGCTGTGTTAATTTCCTATTGCTACTGTATAGTGCCTAAGGCACTTGACTGCTAACCAGAAGGCTGGCATTTCAAACCCACCAACCACCCCTCAGAAGGAAGATGGGGCAATCTACTTCCGTAGTGATACTGCCTTGGGAACCCAAGGAGGGGTTGCTATGAGTCAGGTACAACTTGACGGTACATAAGAACAACAATACTGTAACAAATTATCATAAATTTAGCAGCTTAAAACAAAACAAATCTATTCTTTTACAGGTCTAGACATCAGATGTCTGAAATCAATTTCAGTGGGCTAAAGCCAAGGTGCTGGGAGGACTGGTTCCTTCTGGAAGCTTTGAAGGGAGAACCTCTTCTTTCCTTTTTCAAATTCTAGTGGCTGTCTGTACTCCTTGACTTGTGGGACCTTCCTTAATCTTCAAAGTTCATTACCCCAAAATTGCTTCCATCTTCATATCGTCTTTTCCCTCTGATTCTGACTCCTTTTGTTTCTCCTTTATAAGGACTGTTGTGATTATATTGGGCCCACCTGGATAATACAGCATAATCTCCCCATTTCAAGGTCCTTAATTTAATCACATCAGCAATGTCTGTTTTTCCATATAGAATACAATTTAAACTTCCAGAAATAGGATGTGGACATGTTGTTGTTGTTGTTGTTATGTGCCGTAGAGTCAAACCCAACTCATAGCGACCCCTCCTTGGGTTTCCGAGGCAGTATCACTATGGAAGAAGGATTGCTCAACCTTCCTTTCATATTTGGAGACTATTACTCAGTCTACTATGGACTAGATCAAGGGGGATAGAATACAAAACTTCATAAAGGGAAAATGTGTTGATACGAGGACACTCTCCAGTGACATAAGATCTACCATCCTGGAAGATCTCAAGGTGATGGTTCAAATATTTTGGGATAGTTCTCAGAAGGTACAAAAACTGATAGCCTCCTCAAAATAAGATACACATGCTAGAAATTTCATTACGAAGAAGGGTCAAATATCTTTAAAACAGTAAAACAGAAGAAACAGTGCCATGGACTGAAGAAGCTAATGCCGGAAGCCTCTCAAAATTCATTACCCAGGAGTAAGAAAATGTCCAGATTTTTTGATGCTTCACAAAATTTTCCTTTATGTATTTTCTTTTAAAATGAAAGAGTATTTTTTTTTAATTCTTAAAAAAATTACTTGACTAAATTTTAAAAACATGTTCCTTGACAAAACTTTTAGTGGTTGTTATTTTCATTTAACTACTATAATTGTTTCAGTTTGCTAATAACTTGGGCCCTCACTTATCCTTTATTTATGCTAGAAAACAAGTTGTATTATTTAAAGATTATGTGTGTGTGTGTGTGTGTATGCTATTGATGATATTATTGTATTTTTTTCCCCCCCACAGAACAAGTTCCAAGGATTCATCTTTGTTTTGTTGCCATAGTACATATTCTGGAGAATAGTAACTTGGATGGTGACTTACTGTATTAAGAGAATTATGATACATTTGCTCCCATACAAATATACACATGGGCTGCTACTTACCAGAGCACCAGTGCTGAGCAGTGTGACTAGCCCAATAAAACACTTAAACCAACTGTTTTCTACTATCTTGCAGCAAGTTTTCCTTATGTTCTTCCAAATTTTTCCTTTTTTGGACTCTCTACTGATTTGACTGGGTGAAGATCTCCGTTCATGACCTGCCAAGAATGACACTGTTAAGAACCAAAACCTAGAATATATATGATCATGGAAACATCTCAAAATATCCACCATCTACTTTAGAGATAATTTATTTACAGATTCTAATATAGGGAAGTGGTCTGTGATTTAAAAACACTTAATTTTTACCCTTTCTGTACTGGCTACTATAGCCATGGAGGAAAACAAAAACACATTTAACTTGATATATGAAGGAATAAGTTGTGAAAGACAGTATAATTTAGAAGAATACCCTCTCACCTCCCTGAAACAGAGTTTGAGAATAGAACTTATCCACCATCCTTACTAAAAAATGAACATACAAATGTATACGTCTTCTAAATGTTGTATTTTGGTGTAATGTCTGAAAATTTACCTTTTGAAGATACACTTGGCATAACAAGCATTCCATTTAAAAGCATATTTATGAGCTGTTAAGAGGCTGTTTAAGTCAATTAAATTGCTTTGATCCATTTTTTAGGTGGCATGGTAATGGGAATTTTGATTGAGACTTGAAGAAATGAAGGTGGATTGAGGTTAAAGTCAAAACATTGATTTTAGAATTTGCCTAGAGTCAAATTCTTTATCACTCATCAAAAGAATTTAAGAAGCATTATTTCCCTGTCTTAGCTGTTATAAGTGCTAGAACAATACAAGCTAGTGAAAGCAGATTCTCAGTTTGCATATGGGAATTTGAGCATTTAACAACAAACATTTGACAACTTTCCAGTGGTTTCAAATATCCAGAACCTGTAGTAATTTGTTAATCTTGCTAGGAAACTAATATGAATTATAAGTCATCAAGAAATTTGTATATCTATTAATCAGTCATTTGTCTGAATCCTTACAGATTTTTAATATTCAATGTGTAATATAAAATATATTACCATTATATGATTTGTAGTGTTATGGAAGTCATATTTTCAAATGAATATTTTAAATACTGACCTTATTGCATGAAATTTAAAATATATTACTTCCCTCTAACAAACAATCCTAGGAGCTCTTGTAGCGTAGTGCCTAAGGCACTTGATTACTAACCAGAAGGCTGGCGGTTCAAACCCACCAGCCACTCCTCGGAAGGAAGGTTGGCCAATCTACTTCTGTAGTGATATTACCTCAGAAACCCAAGGAGGGGTCGCTATAAGTCAGGTCTGACTTGACGGCACATAACAACAACAACAACAAATAATCACTATTTGATGCTGCATCAACTATTCATTTTCTCTTTTACCCCTAAATATTTCTCTATTCTAATGCAAACAGTTAGTTACCTGTAAAATGAAATGGGAATGTTTTATATATTTTTCCAATATTTCTTCTAGCATGAAACATGTATTTTGGAATCAATCTATCATATCCCATTTATACAATACCACAATATATCTCTTCTGCATTAGCTATATCAATCATTTATCTCTGTAATCTAAGTTAATGAAGAAGTAGTATAGTGATGATGATAATTATAATTATTATCACTGTGTACTTATATGTGTATTTGATAGGATCTTGTCTAAGATTTTATATATATGTGTGTGTAGACTTAAATAATTATATAGATATAGATGTCTCTCTATATATTAATTTAGTCTGAAACAGAATAAAAGGAAGGTTATATAAAAGCTAAAAATGTGGCTGAGATTTGAACTCTGTTCACCTTGATTCCAGATGCAATACTCTTAACTATTACATTGTGCCTCCTAGGAAACAGGTTTTCCCTTTATTCTAAATGTTGGTTTCCTTTTTTTAACATTAATTAGTATCTTCCAGGATACACATACACAAATGTTCATGTGTGTGCATATCCCTTAGCCCAGTTAATATATTCTGTAATATAAAAAATATATTATCTAATAATATTATTTAAGTTGAAAGAAATTTAACTTAATTTCAAGAGCTCTGGTAGCATAGTGCCTAAGGCATTTGACTGCTAACCAGAAGGCTGGCGGTTCAAACCTCCAGCCACTCCTCGGAAGGAAGGTTGGGCAATCTACTCCTGTAGTGATGCTGCCTCAGAAACCCAAGGAGGGGTTGGTATGAGTTGGGTTCGACTCAACAGCAGTGAGTTTGGTTGTTTTTAGGTTTTCAAGATCATGATCAAAGGTACTTATATTTCTCTTACCATTTTTAAGATGCTTTGTCTTCTCATGTTCATAGACCATTTCTTCTTCTTCAGAGATAGCAATATCGACTGTACTGCATTCTGATGAGCTAGATTGTTTTACTTTCTGAAAAGTAAAGTCCCATCAAAAAGTTGCAATCAAGTTTCATTTATTCATTTTAAATAAAGTTTACTTTGTTTACAGGAGTCAGAAAAATTATGTTTAGAAGAAATGTTGTCAGGGTCAAAAGATTTTAGGACACTCTCATAATTGACATTAAAATGCAGTGATGTGAGTTGAAATTTATAAAAATTCTTAAAATAATTTTAGATGAAAATTAATATTTTGATTATTACACTGTCATCCTAAAGATATACAGGCTACCTCCAACTTATGAAAATGTTGGAGTTTCATGTTTTTCTTGCTATTGATACCTTTTTCCACAAGGTTCTCGTTGACGCTATTTCATTTAAATGAAATAGCATAAAAATATGAGCATATCTGAGCACATGCTACCTGAATTTAGAAATCATATCAAAAAGAGATTTGATGCATTGAACACTAATGATCAAAGATCAGACAAGTTGTGAAATGACATCAGCAACACCATAAATGAAGAAAGAAAAATTGAAAGCATAGGAAAGAAAGAAAAGACTAAGATGGAACTCAGAAGAAACTGATGTTTTCTCTTGAACATAGAGCAGCTAAAATGAATAGAAGAAATGATGAAGTAAAAGAACTGAATAGAAGATTTCAAAGTGCAGCTCAATAAGAAAAAGTATAGTATTATAATGAAATGTGCAAAGATCTGAAATTAGAAAATCAAAAGGGAACAATATGCTCAGCATTTCTCAAGCTTAAAGAAATGAAAACAAGTTCCCATCTTTAGTTGCTATATTGAAGGTTCTATGGGCAAAATAGGAGCTCTGGTAGCATAGTGCCTAAGGCACTTGACTGCTAACCAGAAGGCTGGCGGTTCAGACCCACCAGCCACTCCTCGGAAGGAAGGTTGGGCAATCCTACTTCCGTAGTGATACTGCCTCGGAAACCCAAGGAGGGGTCGCTATGAGTCAGGGCCGACTCGATGGCAAACAACAACAACAACAATGGACAAAATATTGAATGACACAAGAAGCATCAAAAGAAGATGGATGTAATAAACAGTGATATTGAACAAAAGACAATTGTTCTACATTCCACCATTTCAGGAGACAGCGTATGATCAAGAACCAATGGTAATGAAGGAAGAAAACTAAACTGCACTTGAAAGCTTTGGTGTAAAACAAGGCTCCAGGAATTGATGGAATACTGATTGCCATGTTTCAACAAACTGATGCAACACTGGAAGTGCTCACACATTTATGCCAAGAAATTTGGAAGACAGCTACCTGGTCAATCAACTGGAACAGATGCATATTTGTGCCCAATGTAAAGAAAACTGATCCAATATAATGCAGAAATTATTGAACTATTTCATTAATATCACAGGCAAGTAAAATTCAGCTAAAGATAATTCAGAAACAGTTGCAGCAGTACATAGGCAGGAAACGACAAAAATCAAGCTGGATTCACAATGAACAAAGAAGATAACAAAAGAATTGATGCCTTTGAATTATAGTGTTGGTGAAGAATATTGAACATACCATGGACTGCCAGAAAAATGAACAAAACTGTTTTGGAAGAAGTACAGCCAGAATGCTCCTTAGATGTGAAGATGGTGAGATTCATGTCACATACTTTGGAGATATTTTCAGGACAAATCAGTCCTTAGAGAAAGACATCATGCTTAATAAAGTATATACACTGCCATCGAGTCAGATCTGGCTCATAATGACCCCTCCTTGGGTTTCCAAGGCGGTATCTCTATGGAACTAGATTGCCCAATTTTCCTTCTTAGGAGTGGCTGGTGGGTCTGAACCTCCAGCCTTCTGGTTAGCAGTAATATCTTAGGCACCAGGCAAGAGGAAGACCCTTGATGAGATGGACTGACACAGCAACAATGGGCTCAAACACAGCGACAATTGTAAGGATGGTGCAGGACTGCGCAGTGTTTCTTTCTGTTGTACATAGGGGTCATTATGAGTCAGAACTGACTTGACAGCTCTAAGTATGACCAACAGTGTAAAAATAAATCATCCCTTGATGCTAATGATGGCTAGACAATGGTACACTTTACCTTTACTATAAAATCCATTTCAGATGTTCTTTTGTATGTCATCATAGCACAGAATTGCCAGTTATCCTAAAGTGAGATGAAGTACTGACACAGAATAGAGCCATGGATAGATCTGGGATAGTGGTCTCAGTTTTGTGGGAGATGGCTCCTTGTGGGGATTGACCACCCTTCCCTCCTTTCCCACTCTGTTCAAGGCTATCTAGGACAGGCTGGTCATTGTCATGTATGTGTGGCAATAATGCAAATGATCTGGTTTGCTTTTACTTGTAATGATTTCTTAACAATGCTTTATTTTAGTTTATTTAAGAATGAATATACTCCATATTAACCTTTAAAATCACCAAGATCGTAAAGTTAATAACATGTAACCCAGATTTTCTAATTAAAAGGAGATAAAACTATTTAAATATTTGGAAATCTGTCTTATTACTTAAAAATTAAGACAAATTCTAAGTAGAATATATAAAAAGGAATTTATAAATATTTTGTTTCCTACTCTTCTCCAATCCCTGTCATCTGAGATGATTGACCTGTGGTTCTGAGGAAAGGAGACCATGGTGACAATCCCATCTGTGTATGTGTAGCTTTCTGTTAAGTTACATTTCTTTCTAAGACATAATGCTGCTTACAACCATATATCTGTCTCTGGTAGGGTATACTTTTGGAAGCTAAGTGAACTATAACATCTATCCTTCTTTTACTGTGACTGACTTTTTCTTTTTCTGTCAATAAACCCTGTAGGGTTCTGGTGGCATAGTGCCTAAAGCACTTGACTACTAACCAGAAGGCTGGCGATTCAAACCCACCAGCCACTCTTCAGCCACTCTTCAGAAGGGCAATCTACTTCCATAGTCATACTGCCTCAGAAACCCAAGGAGGGGTCACTATGAGTCAGATCCAACTGGACAGTAGTGAGTTTAATGGTCAATAAAGAGGATCTCTGGTGGTGCCGTGGTAAAGCATTTGGTTGCTAACCAAAAGGTTGGCAATTTGAACCCATCAGATGATCCACCGGAGAATGATGAGGGAGTCTGCTTCCATAAAGATTAACAGGCTTAGAAACCCTATAGGGGTTGCTGTGAGTTGCAATCAACTCGATGACAGTAGGTTTAAAGGCTAATAAGGTCATAAATTGCTTACAATTCAAAGTAGTAGTATTTCTTTGTTCTTTTAGTCAACTCAGTGATATATGTTATGAATGTATGTTACAAAAATGAACTGATTAAAATCTTAGAATGTTAGCAATCTTAGCATTCTTCTAGTTCAGTCTCCTGTTATAAAGATGATAAGTCCCAGGGGAGTTTAGTGATTTTTGTGATCATACAGTGATTGCAAAAGGTTAAGTTTCTTTAGTGTGCTTTTCATCACATCATACTACCTGCTAGTTACATAATTGTTACATTTATATCAGCTAATGTTTACTAGTGCTTACTATATACTAGGCTTTTCACACCTGTTGACCTATTAAGTATAGCATTAAGTATAGCATTATGTTTGTTCATACAATAAACAGCAAGTAGGGTAGAGAAGGAGTCACTTGAGTATTCGACTCTGAAACTTCAGCACTGATTCACTTCCTTATAAATGATGCCATTGATCAACACCAAACCTTTGGGAGAGTTAAGCATCTTACCTCTTTGCTGCTTCCATCAGCTGACTTGCTCTGAATTTCCTTATTATCTAGGTTTTCTATATCAGATTCTCCTGAAGCAATTGGTACAGTTTCTGAGACACTAGGACTGGGAATAAGTGATTGATTCTCATTTTCAGTCATTGTGTTCTTCTCTGTGCCACTGCTTTTTTCCTTATCCTTGAGGAAATCTTGAGTGTTGCTCAATTCAGAAAGGGTGTTGTCAGAAATAGTGTCTTTAATATATGTATCATTTATATTTTCCAATTTCTCCTTCTTAGCATTTTGTTTCTTGCATAATGTTTTTAAAAGAACATAATTTATTCCTTTTTTAATCCTTGCCACTGCAAGCTGGACATTTTTTGCTTCTTTGTTGTTTTCAATGGTTGTAGACTTGTATGAACAGAATGAGCTCACCAAAGCCAAAAACAGGTAAAATATCTTAAAAAGAAAGGAAAAGGAGGCTAAATGTATTTCATTTTTTTCTTTCTTTTTTTAATGCAATGTAAAAATCCTTAAAATTCTGCTGCGTGATGTTTGAAAACTGAACACATGAACAAAAAATAAGTACAATGGTATTCGGTTCTTACTCACCCACAATAGGTCAGATGATATACTAGGGGTTTGTGTAAACAGATCACATTTATTACCACAGTAGTTTAGGAAATATGATGTCTTCATATTTTATAGATGAAAAAGACAGAGCTTACTGATGTCAAGTTTATCTTATTCCAAGATTCATTTTCTTTCACTGAACCCAGCTGCCTCTCCCGAAGGTGATAAAATTAATTCTTACTCCAGGAGGGCTGACTTCACTTTAGCCCTATCCCTGTAAGATGTGTAATGATTATGAAAACCCTTGGTAACTCTTCATGAGGTGAGAACTCTCCATGTTCCTAAAGCCCACATCTAATTGTTCCTGAGACAGGAAAGCACAGGTGTTGGGATAGGTTAGTTGATTCCCTGTTATAATAAATTTGGTCAAACAAGAAAGTGATAGTGAAAGAATTGTTCTCCATATTTGTGAAGTCATTTTGAACCAATGAAAAGTCTATGTTTTTATAAATACTACATTATTGAGATATTAGATCAAGGAACGTTCAGTTTCTGGAGAGTCGGATGTTAATCATGTTTGTAATTGCAGGGTTTGTATTATATTTCTGGGTTCTTATGTTACAGATTTAAAATGATCACTTTCTTACACTTCAAGTAGTAATTCTAACTTTGTGTTTATTCTGGCAGCTTTACCATCTCTCTTCATATTTTTGAGCTTTGGCATACTCGCGGTTCAAACCCACCAGCCACTCCTCGGAAGGAAGATGAGGCAATCTACTTCCGTAGTGATACCGCCTCGGAAACCCAAGGAGGGGTCGCTATGAGTCGGGGCTGACTTGATGGCACATAACAACAACAACTATTACTTTATACTTTAAATATCACTGTAAAGGGAAGACTTCAAATGCTATACACATTTTATTTAGGAATATACGTATGTATGCATACACACACATACACACACACACGGTTAAGAGTTTTCTACCTATCTTTCTGATGTTGATATTTTAACTTATTGGAACTTCTTTTTAAAAATAATTATACTTACTATTTATATGTAAGGAGCACTGGTGGCGTATTGCCTAAGGCATTTGACTGTTAACCAGAAGACTGACGGGTGGTTCAAACCCACCATCCACTCCTCAGAAGGAAGAATGGGCAATCTACTTCTGTAGAAATATGCCTTGGAAACCCAGGAGGGTCCTTATGAGTTGGAAACAACTAGCTGGCAGTGAGTTTGGTATTTTAGTTTTTATTTTCATAAAATAATATAATTAAGTATAGAAAGATCTCCAAACATGCATGATAAAACAACTTTCAGAACTCCACACTGCACAGTTATTTAAGACATTTTATAAATTATTGCTTTTGCATACAATGATATTTTTTAAAGTTTTTTTCACTTTAAAACGAGAGTCATTGTTTGAATTTTATTGTCAGGAATAGCTCAAAATTAAATTTTCAAAATATGAATAGCTCCCTCTTATAGAATTGAAAGATGGAAAAAAGTACACAATCTCACAATTTCTATCCTTGCATTTAATTTCTCTCTCTCTCTCTCTCTCTATATATATATATACACACACACATATACATATATGTATATATGTACATACACATATATGTTACATGATGGTCTATAGATGGATGTTTGTTGAAGGGAATAAAGCAAAAAGGACTTAATAAGCCAACCAATATGATGACCAATCAATTGGAAATGTTTGTTCATACAATGCTTTTCTATCATGAAATCCTTCCTGCTCGTTGATTTGGCAATTGGGACTACTAGAGATAAGAAAAAAAAGGTGAAATAAGGTGGACTGCAAAGACAAAGAAACAGACATGCTGCACATATGTGTTGTTTCCCACGTGGCTTTTAATTCTGATAATGAAAGCCTGCCTTTTATTTGGGAAATCTCACTTCTTCCTCATTATCAGTCACATAGTTTGGATTTTGATTAATTCTGTGTCCAAGGAAGAGTTCTGAGTGGCTTAGCATAATCAATTATTCTGTACTCTGGGCAGTAGAGATAGGTTCAGAAATGGACATGCAGCTCAATTAGAACTAATGAGCTAGTAAGAGAAGTTTACTGTGGCTTCCAGAAAAGATATGCTGTCTTCTACCAGACTTGATGTAATATGAAGCTTTAGACTTCAATAGCCATCTTAGTACCACAGAGGTTAACAGCCAGCCAAGAGCATAGAGAAAAAACTGAAGTATGAAAAAGAACTAGCTCTAATGATCCCATCTGAAACTCAGGGTCACACCACAACTAAAGTGAGATTTAACTCTGATATATTGAGTTATATTCTCATTTTTGTGTCAGCTAGTTTGAATATCATCTTATGTTACTAGGAGTTGAAAGAATTCTAATAACTACAGAGGAAGGGACACATTTTTCCATTAATTTGATTTGTATTTATTAACATATTTTTCATGTTGGGCAGTGTTCTAGGGTTTAATGATTAGAGCAGAGTTATGGTTATTACCCTCATGGTTATTACCCTTAAAGGGTATGGTTATTACCCTTAAAGCTCACAGTTTAATGAAGAGAATGTATAAGCACATCAAAAAATTGAACATAATGTCAGTATTATAAGAGTATGACTGAGGTATGGCCAGGGTGACATACAAGCAGTGAGCAAAGGCACAGATACAATTGAATTTAACCTGTGTGTTCAATGAGTCTTCTGGTACATGCAACTTGATGTCTACAATTTATTAGTTAAAAACAGATATTGAATCTTTTTTCTGTAAGAGTAGTTTTCTTTTATAAGTCATACCTATTTCTCAGAATAAATTAAAGTTACTTGCTCAATTCATGTAACACCACTTCTTTAAAAGTGAAAGTTGTTCCTCTTAGTTAATGCATAACAGTTTTATGAACCAGTAGTTTTCAAAATTTGCTGCACAATAACCCACACAGATTTTTTTTTTAACAAATCTGATGCCCAGGTCATGTCCAAAAGCCATTAAAAATAGAATCTCAGGAATGAGTCTAAGACATCAGTATATATATATATATATATATATATATATATATATATATAATTATTATTAATTCCCCAGGTAATCACAATGTACATCCAAATTTGGACAACCAAAGTTTCATTTAAGTTCCTCTTGAAATGTAATGTGTATACCTGTCAGCTGCGGATATTGCTAATATATAATTCTGTTTCCATGGGTTTGAAATGGGGTCTGAGAGTGTGCAGTGCAAACAAGTTCTCAAGTGATGCCAATGCTACTTTGAGTAGCAAGGTTATAACCCTCTCTACTAAAGATACAATTCAAGTTGCATATGCAATTTTCAACTTCCACTGCTTAAAAGGTTAAAAAAAAAAAAAAAGTAAAGCTAATTTTAAAATGTATTTTGTTGTTGTTGTTATGTGCCGTCGAGTCAGCCCCGACTCATAGCGACCCCTCCTTGGGTTTCTGAGGCAGTATCACTACAGAGGTAGGATTGCCCAACTTTCCTTCCGAGGAGTGGCTGGTGGGTTTGAACCGCCAGCCTTCTGGTTAGCAGTCAAGTGCTTTAGCCACTATGCGACCAGAGCTCCCAAAATGTATTTTATTTAACCCAATTTATGCAAAATATTATTTAAAATGTATTCAGTGTAAAAATTATTCATGAAATAATTTACTTTCTTTTTGGGGTGTAATTCTTCAAATCCAGTGTGTATTTTACACTTACAGGGATTTCTATTTGAACCAGTCATATTTCAAATGATCAATAGCTATATGTGGCTAGTGGCCACCATATTGAACAGAAGAACAGTTATAGGCCATTGGGTCCCATCAACTCACATCATGAATAGGACAGACTACATTATGTCATTTTTTCTAAGGAAAATGTAAAGCAACTGTTTACTTACCAGTAAGTTTCCAATTAAAATAACCATCATGTAAAAAGGAATACATGTGATTCGGTTTGCCACCTCCAAGCACTCCCATAAGGTCTCTATCCATTCTCCACAAAGAATCCGGAACACATTCAGGTAGGAGTGGAAGAAGTCATGCATATGCCAGCGTGGGGGCTGACAGTCTTGGTCTATACTGCAAACACAGTTTTTGTAACTTGCACCAAAGATCTTCAACCCAAGCACAGCAGAGAAGACAGTGAACATGAACAATAGCAGGATCAAGTTTTTCAGGGCCACCAACGAGGTACTAAGAGTCCACATTAGACTCCTAAATGTTGGCCAATATTTCCCCAGCTTGAAAATTCGCAGCTAAGAGAGCAATGTAAAAAACAAGAAAAAAACAAGTAAGAAAAACCTTGTTAGTATTTATTACGATGTATGTATATTTTAAAATTTTATCAACATTAAACATACACACATATATAATCTTTAAAGTAATATTGAGTTTTAAATATTATTAACACTAACTACTGGGTATTCATTTTATGTGTAATACATAATACATCTTTTTCTATAATTATATATACTAAATTCATATATATTCTCTTCTACCGATTGTCAGTCCTCATTTCAATATTATACTTTTGGTGGTGGGAGAGTCTGGATATTCTTCGCATTATTTTCTTTTATTTTGTAACTAAGTATTTTTTATATTTTTATTGTAATGTGGGTGAATGTTTACAGAGCAAATTGGTTTTCTGTTTAACAATCCATGCACTTTCTGTTCTGTGACTCTGAGTGTAATCCCCACAACGTAACAGCACTCTTCCCACTTCTCCCCTGTGTTTACCGTTTCCACATGACCTTCTTTCCTAATCCTTCCTATCTTCTGAGCTTTATCCCTGGGCAAATGCTGCCCTTTTGATCTTATATGCTTGTTCTAAGGAGTGTGTATCTCCCTGGTGTTATTATTCACCTTAAAGGCCTGTGTGGTAGTTAAAGTTGTTTGTCAAATTTGCTGGGTCATAGCTTTGAGTGGCAGGGCATCTAGAGGTAGTTGTTCCCCATGTTAATATAATCACCTCCATGTTTGAATCTGCTCTGAGCAGCTAAGTAGTTGACTTCGGGGTGTGGCCTGCTGCCAGCATATAAGGAGAAGCTTTGAGAAATGTCTCTAATTTTTTGGCATGTTTGCATCCTGCATTTGGCCTAGTCTTCATCTCAAGTTTGGACTTGAACCGCTGGTCTGTCATGTTGCGTGCCAATCATGGGGTTGTAACATTTTATCTGTTGATGTTTGGTTCATTTGCCTCAGTAGCCTGCAGCTGTCTGAGTTATAAAAACCTTCTAGTTCCACTTGTTGTTGTTGTTGTTATGTGCCGTCGAGTCAAACCCAACTCATAGCGACCCCTCCTTGGGTTTCCGAGGCAGTATCACTACGGAAGTAGGATTGCCCAACCTTCCTTCCGAGGAGTGGCTGGTGGGTTTGAACTGCCAGCCGTCTGGTTAGCAGGTAAGTGTCTTAGCCACTATGCTACCAGAGCTCCCACTGGGCCTGGAATAAGAGGCAGAACTAAAATGCAAGGTTGAGGGGCCTTCACCCAGCCCCTAGAACCAGCACTCTGAATTTGGACTTTTAGCCACCTAAACTATAACAGAATAAATTCCTGTTTGTTAAAGCCTCCACTAGTGGTATTTCTGTTATAGCAGCACTAGAGAACCAAGACAGCCTGTTTATCATTTATCTGAAAGTTGAGCCATGGGGGTAAGTTCGGTTCTGGAGCTGAAGGATAGCTAAGGGTCACAGTCTTGGGTGTTCTACCAGTCTCTGTCAGGCTAGTAAGCCTAGTCTTTTCCTTTTAATTATTTTTTTTTGTTCCATATTTATCTCACACTCTATCCAGGACCTCCTTTTTTAATCCCTTTCAGAGCAGACGGCAGTAGTAGCTGGGCACCATCTAGTTCTTCTGGTCTCAGGGTCTTTGAAGCTGGGATTCACATGGTGCATTATTAGTCCTTTGGACCAATTGTTTCTTTGTGTCTTTGATTTTCATCATTCTTCTTTGTTCTGAATGGGAGACCAATAGTTACACCACAGATGGCTGTTCACAAGCTTCTAAGACCCCAGTCTTAGAATGTAGAACATTGTCTTTGTGGACTATGTTATGCCAATTGTCATTGGTGTCCCCTGACACTATGATCCTGAGCCCCCAGGCCCAGAGCCAATATTCTATTATTATAATTATTTTACATATAATTATTATATTTATATAATTATAATTATGTATATGCAATTATATTTATTTCATGTTTAGATATCTGATAAAGGCAAGTATTCATTCTTTGTTTTTCTTATTATGTTGTATATCTTTTCTAAATTTTCACAGGATAATAATGAAAAACATTCTTAGAGTCCACTGACTTTCATTGATGGTCTTAATGCATATATCTCTTTTTAAAAAAATTGATTGTGATGAAATATATATAACAAATAGTTTGCCATTTTACCCATTTTAAAGTGCATGATTCAATGACATTAATTAATTCACCATGTTGTGTTACCAATACTGTATCTATTTCCAGAAGTTTTACATCTCTCCAAACAGAAACTCATTACCCCTTTAACAATAACCCCAATTACTTCCTCCATGTTGTTGTTGTTATGTGCCGTTGAGTCGGATCTGACTCTTAGCGACCCCTCCTTGGGTTTCTAAGGCAGTATTACTACAGAAATAGATTGCCCAACTTTTCTTCCAAGGAGTGGCTGGTGGGTTTGGACCACCAGCCTGGTTAGCAGTCAAGCGGCTTAGGCACTAAGCTACCAGAGCTCTTTACTTCCTCCATACAAAAGAACAAACAAGTACACCCTCGGCCATTGAGTTGATTCCAACTCATAGTGACCTCCATGGGATTTCCAGAGCTGTAAATCTTTATAGAAGAAAACTGTCTTATCCTTCTCCCATGGAGTAGCTGGTGAGTTTGAACTGCTGACCTTCTGGTTAGCAGCCTAATGACTTCCCACTATGCCACTAAAGCTCCCTTCCTCCCTCCAGTCCCTTGTAACTACTAATAAACTTTTGTCTTCATACAATTTCCTAATCTAGATATTTCATATACTTAGGACTGTATAATATTTGTCCCATTCATCTGTTTCACTCAGTATAATGTTCTCAAGGTATATCCATGTCATGATATGTATCAAAATTTCATTTTTCTCTAAAATGAATACATTTCTTTATTAGCTGAATTATATTCAATTGTATTGCTATACTACATTTTGTTTGTCCATTCATCTATTGATGGACACTTGGGTAGTTTCCAGTTTAAGATATATTCCTAGGAATAGAATTGCTGGGTCATATGGTAATTTCTTGTTTAGCTTTTTGAAGAACCACAAATTGTATTCCATAAAATTGTTGTTATTAGATACTGTTGATTTTTCTCTGACTCATAGTGACCCTGTGCACAACAGAATGTAGCACTGTGCAGTCCTGGCCATCCTCACATCCTTGCTATGCTAGAGCTCATTGTTGCAGCCACTGTGTCAATCCATCTCTTTGAGGGTCTTTCCCTTAGATGATGTCCTTCTCCAGGAACTGGTCCCTCCTGATAGCATATGCCAAGGACAACAGCCAAAGTCTCACCATCCTTACTTCTAAGGTGAATTTTGTCTATACTTCTTCCTAGACATATTTGTTCTTTCCTCTTGAAGTCTGTCAAACCAAAACCAAACTCATCATCAAGTCAGATCCGATTCATAGCCATCCCTCCTTGGGTTTCCAAGATGATATCACTATGGAAGTAGATTGCCCCATCTTCCTTCTGAAGAGAGGTTGGTGTGGAAGTCTGTAGTATAGTAAATATTCCTCACCAACATTATCACTCAAAACATCAATTCTTCAATGTTCCTTATTTATTGTCCAGCTTTTGCATATATATGAGGAGCTCTGGTGGTGTAGTGCCTAAGGCATTTGACTGCTAACCAGAAGGCTAGCGGTTCAAACCCACCAGCCACTCCTCAGAAGGAAGATTGGGGAATCTACTTCCATAGTGATACTTCCTTGGAAACCCAAGGAGGGATCACCATGAGATGGATCCAACTTTATAGCAGTGAGTTTAGGTTTTTTTTTTTTTTTTTTTTTATGAGGCTATTGAAAATAGCACAACTTGGGTTAGATGCGTATTAGTCTTGGCATAGTGCCTAAGGCATTTATTTGACTGCTAACCAGAAGACTGACAATTCAAACCCACCAGCCACTCCTTGGAAGGAAGATTGGGCAAACTACTTTCATAGAGATACTGCCTTGTAAACCCAAGGAGGGGTCACTATGAGTAGGGTTCAACTCGACAGCAGTGGGTTTGTTTTTTTGGTTAGTCTTCTAAATTATATCTTTGGTCTTTAACACTTTAAAGAGGTCTTTTGCAGTAGATTTTCCCAGTGCAATATGATGTCTCATTTCTTGACTGCTGCTCCCATGAGTGTTAATTGTGGATCCAAGTAAAATGATATCTTTGACAACTTCAATCTTTTCTCCATTTATTGTCTAGTGGTATGCTCATTTTCTTTATGTTGAGGTGTAATCCATACAATGACTGTAGTCATTGATCTTCATCAGTAAGTGTTTCAAGTTATCTTCATTTTCGGTAAGCAAGGTTGTGTCATCTGCATGTAACAGGTTGTTAATGAGTCTTCCTCCAATTCTGATGCCATGTTCTTCACATTGTCTAAGAGAGACTGGGAAGAAGGATGGGGCCATTCACTTCTGAAAAAATTGACCAATGAAAGCCTTATGAATAGCAGTGAACTGATATACTACTGGAAAGCTTTATGAATAGCAGTGAAATATTTTCTGATATATTGCCAAAAGATGAATCTAAGATTGGAAAGCATTCAAAATATAATTGGGGAAGAGCTGTGTTTTGGTTATTTTGTGCTACTCTAACAGAAAATATACCACAGATGGGTGGTCTTAACAAGCAGGGATTTAGTCTCTTGCAGTTTTGGAGGTTAGAAGTCCAAGTTCAAAATGCCAGCTCTAGGGGCTAGGTGAAAGCCCCTCAACCTTGGGCTTTAGTTTTATCTCTTGCTCCCAGCCCACTGCAGTCTTTGTGGCCCCCTATGTCAGGCCCCCTATGTCTGACTCGATGGCAGTGAGTTTTTTGTTTTCTTTTTTAATGGTCACTCATACCCATAACAAAGGTCAAGTCTAAGCAAGCCCCTAAGAGGCACTGGGTCTCCAGAGCAAGGTAAGCACGGGCGTTCTTGTGCTTACTCACTGGTCTGCACTGAACACTTTCCCTTGTTACCCTCCCAAGAGGTACTGGGTCTCCGGGAGCAAGGTAAGCACGGGCGTAGCACAGAGTAGCAG